GTATAGTCGAGTCATTTCTAGTATGATATATTCAATTATAGTATAATCGATTCAAATTCTAATATGATCAATTCAATTCTAGAATGATCGATTCAATTTCTAGTATAATCGAGTCAAATTCTAGTATAGTCGAGTCAAACTTAGTATAATCGAGTCAAATTCTAGTATAGTCGAGTCAAACTTAGTATAATCGAGTCAAATTCTATTATAATCGAGTCAAATTCTAGTATAGTCGAGTCAAACTTAGTATAGTCGAGTCAAATTCTAGTATAATCGAGTCAAATTCTAGTATAGTCGAGTCAAACTTAGTATAATCGAGTCAAATTCTAGTATAATCGAGTAAAATTCTAGTATAGTCGAGTCAAATTCTAGTATAATCGAGTCAAATTCTAGTATAGTCGAGTCAAACTTAGTATAATCGAGTCAAATTCTAGTATAGTCGAGTCAAACTTAGTATAATCGAGTCAAATTCTAGTGTCGTCGAGTCAAACTTAGTATAATCGAGTCAAATTATAGTATAATCGATTCAAATTCTAATATGATCAATTCAATTCTACGTATTCATTTTACCAAGAAACGTATTCATTTTACAAAGGAACATGTTTATTTTACCAAGACACTTATTCATTTTACAAAGTAACATATTCAAAGGAACATGTTCATTTTACCAAGACACTTATTCATTTTACAAAGTAACATATTCATTTTACCAAGTATAACTGAGTCAAACTTAGTATAATTGAGTTAAACTTAGCACAATCGAGTCTATTGTAGTATGATCGAGCCAATTCTAGTATAGTCGAATCATTTCTAGTATGATATATTCAATTATAGTATAATCGATTCAAATTCTAATATGATCAATTCAATTCTAGTATAATCGATTCAAATTCTAGTATGATCCATTCAAATTCTAGTATAATCGATTCAAATTCTAGTATGATCCATTCAAATTCTAGTATAGTCGAGTCAAACTTAGTATAATCGAGTCAAATTCTAGCATAATTGAGTCAAATTCTAGTATAATCGAGTCAAACTTAGTATAATCGAGTCAAATTCTAGTATAGTCGAGTCAAACTTAGTATAATCGAGTCAAAATCTAGTATAATTGAGTCAAATTCTAGTATAGTCGTGTCAAACTTAGTATAATCGAGTCAAATTCTAGTATAGTCGAGTCAAACTTAGTATAATCGAGTCAAATTATAGTATAATCGATTCAAATTCTAATATGATCAATTCAATTCTACGTATTCGTTTTACCAAGAAACGTATTAATTTTACAAAGGAACATATTCATTTTACCAAGAAATCAGATGTTCATAATCGAGTCAAATACTGTGTAATATGTTCATCTTACTATATAACATTATGTAGCATGTTCATCTTATTTTGTAACATGTTCACCTTATTGTGTAAATATGTAACATGTTCATCTCATTATGTAACATGTTCATTTTTATAGTATGTTCATCTAAATTTCATCTTTAAAATGCAACATTCTCATTTCGTAACATGTCCATCTTATTTTATTACATGTTCACCTTATTTTGTAAATATGTAACATTTTCATTTTATTCTATAACATATTCATCTTACTATATAACATATTCATCTTACTATGTAACATGTTCATCTCATTATGTAACATGTTCATTATATTTTATAACATGTTCATCTCATTTTGTAACATATCCATCTTATTTTGTAACATGTTCGTCTTACTGTGTAAATATGTAACATGTTCATCTTACTATATAATATGTTCATCTTACTCATTTTGTAACATATCCATCTTATTTTATAACATGTTAACCTTATTTTGTAAATATGTAACATTTTCATCTTATTATATAACATATTCATCTTACAGAGGAAATAAATAGCTCGCTAAATTTGCCGCTATTTGAGAAATAACTTTTTTTGGCAGCGTGCCGCTATTTGTATTCGTGTGCAATTTAGTCGCTATATCCCGCTATATCTCCGCTATAGCTACAGTGCCATAAACGTCTTAGCCTGCTATTTAAAACCTTATTCTTATTATATAACATGTTCTTCTTACTATGTAACATGTTCATCTTATTATATAACATGTTCATCTTACTATGTAACATGTTCATCTTATTTTATAACATGTCCATCTCATTTTGTAACATGTTCACCTTATTGTGTAAATATGTAACATGTTCATCTTATTTTTTTTTTTTATTTTTTTTATACATGTTCTTCTTATTTTATAACATGTTCAATTCATTATGTAATATATCCATCTTATTTTACAACATGTTCACCTTATTTTGTAAATATGTAATATTTTCATCTTATTCTATAACATTTTCATCTTATTATATAACATGTTCATCTTACTATGTAACATGTTCATCTTATTATAGATTTGCGTCATCATCTTCTAATAACATAAATTAATTATAAAAAATAATAAATTAATTGTATTCTAAAATCTATCAAATGTGGTCTCTATTTGTAGAGAATGAAAAATTATGAATTTTGATATTTTTATTTTTATTTTTATTTTTATTTTTTAATATAAAATATAGTTGATAATTTAGTTTATTTAATATGATATATAAAATTTATTAACATATAAAAATAAGACACATGTCTAATTTAAACAATACTTACCTTATCTCACTTATCTTGTCCCACGCGCTTTTTGAGAGAACTGTAATTCACAAATGCCACCTAGCTAGGTGTGCTTAAGTATTTGGGGCCGATGGGTTCTAAAATTAAAGCAGTTCAGTTTCGCGGAAGACAGGTGGTTTTTATTTCCTATCAATTGGCGTATTAGGAAAAGTTTTCATTTTTTTTGGACCTCAAATCTTTCTCTCTCTCTCATTATTTGTCCTTTTTTCATGTCTATCTTGTCGAGCAATTTACCAATAAAAAAAAATAAAAAAACATGTGGACAAAAAAAAAAAAAGAAAATAAGGGAGTGGACAAAAATGAAAAGCACGTATTCAAGGAATACGTTTTCTGTACAAATTGTATAGAAAACGTATTTCTTGAATACGTTTTTTCAATTTTTTTTTTAAAAGAAAACGTATTTAATGAATACGTTTTACAATTAAAAAATGGTAAAACATATTAATTGAATACGGGCTTTTTATTATGGTCCACTCTCATTTATTTGTGTATTTTTTTTTCCACGACTTAACTTTTTTATAATTTTATGGTATAAAATTCCTATCTTGTTTCATGTTTGTTTGAAAACACATGCGTCGTGACCTTGCTTTGATGCAACAAGTCTTGCAGAAAATAAATAAATAAATTTTTATTGTGTTTTTGGCCCCCACAAGACCTTTTTCTTTTTTCTTTTTTTATTTTTATTTTTTATTTTTTATTTTGGAATTTTGTGCCCCTTGTCCCTGTGTATAGTACTGGTGCAAGGGGGAGGATTGCATTATCATATATTCGTGGATACCTATGAAGCCTTTGAGGTATTTAATTTTTTTTTTCATGCTTTTAATTTCATTTTTCCTGATTAATTATAACAGATAGAAAATATGTTGCTTTTGTTACAAAAGATTAGTAGATCCCCAATTGATTTATTTTTTTTTTTTTTTTTTTTTTTTTTTTTTTTTTTTTTCTGTTCTGTTCTTCATTCAGTTTTCGCTAGCCACACAGAAATTGTGCATTGGCTAATTAGAGTGAATTATGATGGCAGCTCTGCTTTTGACAGCCCCTCCTCACACATGCCCTAGATGAGATGAGACAAGTAATATATAAATTTATTCAAACATACAAATATTTATATTAAGAAATACTTTATTATATTATATATTATTGAAGTTTGGACGTATTTTAAATAGAATAATGCTACACGCACCTCTTGGTGTACATGTACCTATTTACCCTTAATGAACCTCTTGGAGGTAAATCAAGTGGTACACCAAGGGGTACATGTAGCATGAATATAGGTTGAGAAAGTAAGTCCTCGTTTACTTAAGTTGATAGGATAAGATATGGTTGGATAACTCTTGTTATCCAACGTTTACTAACCATGATGGGATTGCAGAATAAGTTGTGGGTCCCACACTTTTATGTGCGATTGGCAGGATTATTTTGCCCGGTCTTGAGGGTGGGACATTTTAATCCTAACTTAGAAATGACCATTTTGTCAAAATTGGCATGTGAAATGTCACTTTTACCCTTAGAAACCCACCAAATACATATTTTGGTCGTATAAATATATTTTGCTATCCTTTAGTAAACACTTTATCGTTTTTGCCTTAAAATCTTTAAAATCATTGGACACAAGCTGACGTGTAAAGTTGATGGGATTAAACTGCCAAATCCAATCATTTTTAAGTGAACGAGGCCTTCGGAAGATTGTCTTGTTTAATATTTTTCCATGGCCCATGATCATTAGAAAAACGTAATTCTCGTTTTAGTAAGACGTTATTCTTAAGCAACTTCTTGATACTTATTCCCCATTAGATATGTGTCATGTTTTTAAAAGTGTGTTATTATTATGTGCATGTAGCAGCCACTCCAGGTAGTTTGAAATTGTAATATTTTATTCATTTTTTCATTGTCTTTTTATAGCTTTGATGATGATTGATTGATGCTACGTTACAAAATTTTGATGACTCCACAATTAGCTGTGTTATTGGTCTCTATTTTTGATTTGCCCACCTTACTTGACCATATATGATATATGTATGAAAAATAAAAAATAATAAAATTTGCAATAATAATTGTGATTTATTACTATTTTTTTTTATAGATATAAATAAATTTAGTTATGGCAGGCCAAGCTTGAATTGTCCACACCATTCAATAGCAATAATAGGATATATGGTACGTATTGGCTTCCACAACTTTCCAGCCTGTGTGGCCTTTTGCAGGAAAATATCAATATAATTTGGCTACATTTGTGCTCTGTTGTAGAGATCAAATTCATTGTTGTAGCTTGAGAAGAGAGGAGGATTAGAAGGGCCAGCTGCAAAGTATAAATTTTTGTCATAAGAACAGAAACAAGAATGGGGTTCGTGTCCTTGTTTGAGGTGGCGTCCGTGCCGATACTCGAGGTGCTCATAATCAGCACATTGGGAGCTTTCATGGCTACTGATTACCTCAACCTATTCCCATCTGATGCCAGAAAGTATATGAACAAAGTAAGTTCGTTCATTGTTCTGTTCTGATGGAAAATTTTCTCTGTTAATCTTTGTCTTTTTGTTTTATTTTGTTCGGGTTGCTCTGCAAGTTTGTGGTGTCATATGCGTGTGTTGGAATGTAGATTGTGTTTGTGGCCTTCACTCCATCATTGGTGTTTTCGAGTCTTGCCAAGACAGTACGTCTCGAAGACATCATCTCATGGTACGTTCGTATTAAATATAAGAATGTGCTAGCTTGTGCTTCTAAATCATAATATGATAAAACTAGCTAAATAGTTATATTCTTCACTCTTTATTTGTGATTTAGGTGGTTCATGCCGGTGAATATCGCGGTAACTTTTGTAGTCGGAGCCTTTTTTGGATGGGTGGCGGTTAAGATACTTAGACCCGAACCGTATCTCGAAGACCTCATCATCGCGTTTTGTTCATCAGGTGTGTGTCATCTTTTTTACATTATTTTTGTTTCGATAGAAAAAAGTACGGTTAGCTGATTAAAGGGAAAATTATGAAAAATATAGGTAATTTGGGGAATATTCTAGTGATAATCATCCCGGCTATCTGCCAGGAGAACGGTAGTCCATTCGGGGATGAGAATGTTTGCACCACTGTTGGACTTTCGTACGCTTCGTTTTCTATGGCGGTAAAAGCTGTTTTTTTTTTTTTCGTGTTCCCCTGTTTCTTGAAGATGATTCCAATGGATTTATCATATTATAGTTTACGTCTGCTTCGGTTTGAATTCATATATAACAGCTTGGAGCTTTCTATATATGGACTTACACATTCCACTTAATACGAAGCGCGGGAGAAAAATACAAAGCCATACTCGCGGCAGAGGAGTCCAAAAAGGAGCCCAATAAGGATTTAGAGGCAGATGATAAATCAGCTCTTCTTCTTCTTCTTCATCAAGGAGACGTTACACAGAAACAAATAGTGAGTTCTCGAGACGTTTAGGAACATGAATTAATGAAAGCATCACTCACTCTCTTGAAAATCAAGCATTTTTTTTTTTTAATCCTTATATATGTTTTGTGAAATATACTGATTAAGCAAATTTTTTCACTTCGATTTCGTGTCAAAGGTTGAGTCGAAGCGTAACACGATGTGGTGGACCCGGATTGTGATGATTTTCCATCAGATAGGGGAGGAGCTATTGTCACCCCCAATCCTTGCTGCCGTGAGTTGAATATAATCGTCATAAGTTTTTTGCAGCTTTGCACGAGTTGGCTATGATGAATGCTATGTAAATTAACATTAATTCAGGTGATCGGGCTCGTGTTTGGAGCAATCTCATGGCTTCGTAACCTCATAATCGGTGAAAATGCTCCACTCCGAGTGATCAACAGCTCTCTCAAATTACTTGGGTGAGGTTATAAGACACACAAGCATAAACTTACAAACAAAAAGTAAAAAATCATGATCACTGATTTTGATTGCATTTTTTTTTTTTTTTTTTTTTTCAGGGATGGGACTATTCCTTGCATCACTCTCATACTAGGAGGCAACCTAACACAAGGTACATTTTTTTCCCTCTTCTACTTTCGGTGTTTTTTTTCTTAAGTAGTCCAAGTGTAGGTATGTAATTACATTGTATTCAGGGTTGCGGAAAGCGAAATTGAGATGGGGGATAGTGATTGCTGTGGTTTGTGTGAGATACGTAATACTTCCTGCGGTTGGAATTTGTGTGGTGCAAGCGGCCTCACGACTTGGCTTCCTTCCTAGCGACCCACTCTACCACTTTGTGCTCATGATCCAGTTCACTCTTCCACCCGCCATGAACATTGGTACGTACACACTTAATGCTTCTTCGCCTCTCACTTCATACTTAAAACGACTAGTTATAGGGACGAATCGTGTTCGAGAAAAACCTTGATACAAAAAATGCATGCTCCCCGGCATGAAGTGATTAGAGAAACTAAAAAGTTCGATGAAGAATAAAGAAAAAAAAAAAAAAAAAACTTAAAATTTGGAAGCATTGGGGAAATAACATTTAAGTTTTCTGATGAAAGTGTGTTTTGAAATTGACCATGAAGGTACAATGACTCAATTATTCGATGTGGCGCAAGAAGAGTGCTCGGTGTTGTTTTTGTGGACTTATGTTGTTGCAGCACTTGCGCTGACAGCTTGGTCCACCCTTTTCATGTGGATCTTGACATAGATGCAGAATTCGATTCCACTGGTGTGGGCACTACCCACAAACGGTTCCGAGCCTTTGGATTGTGCGCGCACACACATTGGTGTGGGTGTGTGGCAATTCAATGATTTGGATTCTGTTGTGGACACGGTAGTGTGAAATAGTATATACCTAATTACGATTATACATTACTATATAATGTGTCATGCCCCATTTTAATTTTAATTTTTTCGGGTTAAGTAAAGATGTATTTCAAATTTTGAGATTCAGGGCTTCTGTAGGAGTTGGAGAAGGGATTATGGGAAGTGATAGGTTTTGGTGCAAAAATTCTGAATGTTTTAAGCTGTTAGAAGTCATAAAATGTATTTGGATTTTGGTTAGAGTTGTTCACACAAGTGTATGTATGTATGTATTTGATAGATTTTCTTGGGTGAAGTAAATAAAAAACAAAAAAAAAATGCAGTTTAAGGTGTGTTTTTCTAATGTGAAAGTTGTTTTGTTATGCTTCAAAGATCTTATTTCCTGTCAATAAACTGCATTGACAACATGAAATAATTACATTCGACTTTCGTTTTAAAGTGTACCATAGAAAATATGTAAATATAGCTCCACAGGTCAGAGTGGCTAACTCGGAAAATTAACCGGTGTAGGGTAGCACCAGCTCGGTGTAGACGATTGACCCGGTCATGGTTACACTCATCAAACAACTGATCCATCAGGTACAATGGCATGATCGAAACCAATCTGGTCAGAAATCCAAGACTTATTCCTCTTCATGCTCACCTTGAAAACCAAATCTCTAGCTGTAACACACTTGGCAGCTCCCATTATGAAAACAGCGAGCCTGTTTGTATACAAAAAAATTTGGTCAAAATGAGTTTTTTTAACTAACCAGAATAGGTTTTGAAAAAAATGGTATAAGAAATTGGGAAAAAACGTGTGCGATCCCATGCAGATGAAGCGCATCAAGAGCGGAAAAAGCCCAAATGAAACCCAAATGAGATTTCATCTCAAAACCAATTTATGGAAGGAGGAGTAGTCCATAAGTTTTATAAATTAGGCCTATTTTCCCTACATAAACGATGTGGGACAACTCACAAGTGAAAAACGGGTACGTCATCGCACGGTCTCAATAGAACCGGCTCTGATACCAGGTAAGAAACGAGGGAAAAAACGGTAAACGGGTACGTTCGTTGCACGGTCTCAATAGAACCGGCTCTAATACCATGTAAGAAACCAGGGAAAAATGGATGCGGTCCCACGCACGTGAAGTGCACCAATAGGGGAAACTCAAGTCGAGTTCCATCCCAAAGCCAATTGGTGGAAGGAGGAGTATCTCATTAGTCTTATAAATTATGCCTATTTTCCGTAAACGATGTGGGACAAGTCACAAGTGAATATTCTAACAGATGTTATGGTTAGTTGTTAGTGAAATTTTAATTTTAATTTTATATCAAAATAATATGTAAAATACAATAATTAAAGTTGGTTTGATGTAAAAGTACGAAAGAGATTATTTGAATTGATTGTTAGTTAAAATTATGTGAGATGATAATTTGTAAATTAGAGTTGATGTGATGTGTAATAATGATTGATTGATATTATTTAATTATATTGATAATATTGATGATAATAAAGTTGAGTTACAATCAAGCCAGATTTTGAATATGAATCGAGTATGGATTGATTTTTTTCATATACTTGATATCTGCATTTTATTTATTTATTTATTTATTTATTTTTTTGTGTGACTGGAACAGGTGAGAACTGAAAAGTTGACTTATTAGAGAAACCTAAAATCGAATTCCATTATTCTGTGGACTCAAATTTTGAATAATCTGATTGTGAAGAGATTTGGTGAGACAGACAATGAATCAAATATATTCATGTATTTAAACTTTAAAGTCAACCTGAATCGAAGCACATGCTTAAGAACAAATGAGAAGATGAAAAAAAAAGTACGAATACTAGACTCTGGGATTCAAGTTCACGGTTTTGCTATGGAGTCATCGGATAGCTTGGCTAATAAAGCCATCCATAGTCATCCACAAATGGTGTACTGACACGTGTCCTGCAATAAATACACAATAGACATGTATCAATATATTAAGTTATGAATTGTTCCATAAAGAACCATTCGATAGCTCCATAGCATTCCTGTTCAAGTCCATGATTTTTTTCTTATCCCTAGAATTTTGAGTCCTTGATTTTTATTTATTTATTATTATTATTTTTTTTTAATTGTGAGTCCTTGATTTTTTTTTTCTATTTATTTTATTCATTTTTGCATGTAGGATCTTGCAGAATGAGCACCAAGTAGGGCTGAGCAGGGGACTCGAAGATTACCGAACTATTTCGAAAATCGAACCGAAGTTACCCCGAAATGAAATATATTTGCTGACCATTTGACTTCATCTGAACCTAATTAACCATACCGAAAAATATTTGGTACGTTTCTGAAGATAATAAAATATCCGAACAGAGAACTGAAATGAGAAATTCCATACCGAATCGAAAATCAAACAAGAACTGATTTTAATTCATGAAATTCATCTAAATATAAAATTTAATCTTATGCTTTCTTTTTATCTTTGTACATATTTGTATTTAAAGTTTAATTGCAAATAAAATTCATATATATTAGGTCTATGTTCATACACTATCATATATTATATTTCAATTATTGCGAAAATCCTCCACTATTGAATGTTATTATCATTAAATGATTGAAAAAAAATATTTATTTTATTTTCTTATTGCATGTGAGGCATTAGTTTGAAAAAAAATTAAATTAATATACTTTTCCTATCACAAATTTTAGTAACCAACGTGTTAAATTTTACTAAAAAATCATTAATTATAAACCAAATTCAAATTTAGAATGTTTGAAAACCGGCCTTCATGAAGAAAAACTTTCACAAAATTTGGAGAGAAATATTTATTCAAAGATGATATATTTCAAATAAAAATAAATTAATAGATATTTTTACCATAATATCTACCAGATTAATAATAATACTACGACACGTTGACACCAGTGACGAAACTAGAAATTTTACTCAGGGGGTCCGATTTTAAATGTTAAATAACGAGCTTGTAGTTTAAGTTGAAATGCTCATTTTATATAAAAGTGTATTTACTATAAATATAAATATCGATATGTGTACCATCGAGGTTTTTAAAACGTAGAATTCGTATCACCCTCAAACTTTTTTTTTTTTAAAAAAAAAGAGAGATTTCAAGTATTATAATTTAACTTCAACATCTATAAGTTATGGAAACATAAGTTATATGGTTGAAAATTTGATTTCAATTGCACTTTTGCAGCACATTGCATAACATTTTTGTGATCAAAGCTTACCAAATGAACATTTTTAAGAAAAAAATAAAGTTAAAAAGATGTGATTACACAAAAAGATCCAACTAAATACTCAATTTTATATCACTAAATCGATTTACAATGAAGAGACCAAAAAAATAAATCATTTTAAATATTTTCAAAAACTTATCTAGAAATGTAAAATATAAAGATTGTTAGTATATTTTTTAACAAATAAGTAATATTATTAATTTAAATTAAAATAACATAAAAAATATGTTTTTATTATTAACATATTGTAAATATTTTGCATTTCTGGGCATATTTTATAGTAATTTCCTTTATATATATATAGACTTTTAAAAAAATGAGAGGGGCATGTATGGCTCCATCTCTGGTTGAAACCCGCTCGAAGATAGCAAGGTTCAATGTTTTTTGGTAATACACATGTATTGATAAAAAAATTCACAACTGAATTTAAAATGTGTCAGTATGGAATTGTGGTTTGTGAATTATGGGATTTGTATTTGGTATTAGATATCACTTGTGAGTTGTCTCACATTGTTCATACATGGAAAATAGACCCACCTTATAAGTCTAATGGGCTACTCCTCCTTCCACCAATTGGTTTTGGGATGGAACCTCATTTGGGCTTCATATGTGTTTTTCCTGCTTTTGGTGCGCTTCATTAGTGGTTCCGCACCCATTTTCCCCCAGTTTCTTACATGGTATCAGAGCCGGTTCTATTAGGACCGTGCGATGACGTACCCGTTTATGGGAGTCTACTTCTAGTAGGCTTGGGGCACCCAGTTGGGCTTGGGCTTCCGAAGGACTCACAAGTGAGGGGGCGTATTAGAATATCACTTGTGAGTTGTCCCACATTGTTCGTACATGGAAAATAAACTCACCTTATAAGTCTAATGGGCTACTCCTCATTCCACAATTGGTTTTGGGATGAAACCTCATTTGGGCTTCATATGGGTTTTTCCCTCTTTTGGTGTGCTTCATGTTAGTGGGACCGCACCCGTTTTCCCCCCAGTTTCTTACATTTGGAATTATGGGATGTGAACTCTTAGATAATGTGTGTCATAGTAATACTTGATCTACAATTGAATTTTTTCTTGTTTTAAAAATATTATTTAGAATCATTAATATGATTATAAGTATTGATTAATATTGGATTTTTTTAAAGCATATAAAAATTAAAATATAACTAGACAGGCATTCAAAAAAAATTAATAATTAGGAATTTTCGAAGATTCGAACCGAACCAAACCGAATCGAATCGTTCTCTCGAATACCAAACCGAATTGAATCAAAAAATAAAAATCTTCGAACCGAACCGTCTCGACTTTTTTGTACGGTCAGGAGACCGATTTTTGGTGATCTCCAATTATTGGCCGGAGATTTGTCCATCTCCGAACTACACCGACACACCATCACCCATAGCACCAACTTAACAGGCAGCGCTTTAGGACATGACCAACTGCAACGCACGAGCGATAAATGTTTGTTCGTTCAGCTTTTTGGTAAAGAGTTTCGTATTTTGTTCAATCAATTAAAACCATATATACCACAAGAATATTGAAAGAATCATCTCATCATTCACTTAATAATCAATATATACTTAATTTGGTTCCTGTATTTTTATGTACAGCGCACCGCGAACAAAACAATAAAGTAGCTAAAGTCTCACAAAATTCAGTCCAACGACCTCTTGACATACCTAAACCCCAAGGACGAATCAAAACAATCCACCTTCCCCCGACACGCGTTCATCGCCTTCAGAAGCTCCGTTACCTTCTCCTTGTCCCCACTGCTCCCCATCTGCAGCACAAGCAGAAGCTTCTGGAATCCCCCATGCTCAGCAGCCTCCACCACCCCCCTCTCCTTCACCTCCCCCAAACACAGCAGCTTCCAGAGGCTCGACACGCAAAACCCCGTCGCCACCTCCGAAACCCGCAGAATCTTCTTGACGAGCAACGGGATCACGAGCGCGTTCTCGTAGGCTATCTCTCTCCCTTCTTTAGTACCGAACGCGCTATCGAGAACTCCCAGGGCCTTCTCGCACGCGCTCTTGTCCCCGTCGACTATTATCTCGAGAACCGAAGGTATTAGTCCCATGCGGATGAACTTCGACGATGATGTCACCACCCACGTCATCATGCGGTGGATGACCACCAAGCCCGCCTTGGTCGCCCGAGACCCAATCGGGACTTTCACGATTCGAAAAACGGCTTCTTCTATTCCCTTAACTAGGATGCCGACAACATCCCCATCCAAATCTATCAATTCTCTCAAGACGCATATCGCGTTCTGCCTCGACGAGAGGTCGTCCTCATTTTTCAAAAACCGCGCCATGCAACGTAGGGAGACGATCGACTTCAGCCTCGAGGCACCATCCTCACCGAGCGAGGACGACATCCACGTCAGCACCGACAGGATCTCTTTCAGCAATTCCAGGTTGTTTTCGCCTTCGATCGGAAAACGGGCAAACGACTCGAACGAGCGGGCCAACGTGGGCCCCGCCCCGTTCGCCATCATACAATGCCTGTTCCGTTCGCTATCCCTCGCGAGATTCTTGATCCTGCCGACCAATTCCCGGCACTTAACCGCGTCCCCGCAGCTCACGGACTCGTCTATAGCCGAGCAGATCTCGAAGACCTCGCGGGGGGCGACCGGAACACGCGGGGTAGGGATCCGCTCGATTCCCCGGGACCGGTTCTGGACGCACCAGTCCTGGATCATTTTCCGGATGGAGTGGTTCGGGACGGGCTCGAGGCTTCCGGGGAGGAGTCGGTTTGTGACGGGGCACGTCCTGTTGCCGGAGTCGAGCCACTTCTCGATGGATTCACGGTCATAAGTGATCCCGGTGGGTAGTGTCACCGGGTCGCGCATCAGATCGAGAGAGATAGGGCACAAGAAGTGGACCGGGATTGTCGTGAGCTCCATGCCGCCGATGTCTCGGTCGGCTACCGGCCGGGACTCGTTGGTCTTTGCTCTCCTCCGGCGCCATGGGAAAGTCATTGTGAAGAAAGTGATTAATAATATTGTATATTTTGATGGGGGGTCTTTCTTGGTTGTTAAGTACTATAGAAATTGCAAGTGAACGTGTATGAAAGTTATTTGGAATGTAATATTGTTGTGTGACTATATATGTGTGTGTGTGTGTGTTCATTTTTGAGAACACGGATGGACGCGGGATTTATGAAGTGGAGGGGTCAAAGGGTTGGAAATGTTAGTGGAAAAGAGAGAAAAAAAAAAAAAAAGATTGGGTAGGGATGAGAAGGAAAACGTTGTTGTTTTTGAATTTGACTGTTGAAAATTGCAAGTCATATTTGATATATTTGTGTTGGTATTTGATAGTTGGCGGAGGGTTTTGACTTGGTGATCGCTTAGGTCGGTGGCTAACGGTCGTTTGGGTAACAGTGGACGGAAATGCTCAACGCGTTAACGCAAGCTTCTTCTTTTCCGTTTATTTGTCTGTTATTGTTATTTTTT